ATATAACTCAAAGCACAAAACATGTTTTGGAGAAACTCCCTACATTCTCCAGTGGTTTGTACTACACAAAAATCAATACTATTGAACTCATGCTATAGTAAACCAGAAATTTACTGATAATTTTGTTGTTTGGTATGACCGGTTAGGCCATTGTGATTCAATAATGATGCGAAAAATAATTACGAATTCATGTGGACATTATTTGAAGATGTAGCAAATTCTTCATAATAATTTTTCATATGCTGCTTGCTTAGAAGGCAAGTTGATAATCCGTCCATCACCAGCTAAAATTAATTTTGAATCATTTATTTTTCTGGAACGGATACAAGAAGATATTTGTGGGCACATACACTCTCCATGTGGACCATTTAGATATTTTATGGTTTTAATTGATGCATTAACTAGATGGTCACATGTGTCCTTGTTATCAACTCATAACGTGGCGTTTGCTAGATTATTTGCCTGATTGATTAAGTTACGATCACATTCAGTGGTGGAGCCACCCTTGTGCATGGTGGGTCACGTTAGGGCTAAGCAAAACTACCCGAAAAATTAAAAATCCGAAAAACCGATCCGTAACCGTTTCGAAAATTAGGGTACCCGATCCGATAACCATAACGGTTCTGGTGCCCGTTCCGATTATTTGTTATCAGGTATGGTTATGGGTATCATTTTAAAAAATTAACGGTTACCCGATCCGATCCGATAAGCATTTTTTTTTTGCTTTTTTTTCCCTACTTAAATCTATTAATATAAATCTAAACTTTTACTTTACTTCATAACCACTTTATAATATCAATGATTAGTAATATTATTAATAATTTGGTCAAGATCATATGGTATTGTTTTTAATTATATATATATATATATATATATATATATATATATATATATATATATATATATATATATATTTGAATATGTATTCTCACTCTCACTAGGTAACTTTTGAAATTTATTTTTTATTTAATTTATTACCTTCATCCTTCAAATATTACATTACTAATTTTCATTAGGTAACTTGTTAAAGCTCCCTATTCTAAATCTTTTTGGTAATTTTATTGGTGATTTGTCATTATCCGTCACAAATCCTCCTCCTCTCCCACAAGATATTGAATACTTTTGGAGTGACTTTTTTTTATTAGCTTTTAGAATATACATGCTTTAATTATTGATTTGTATGCGGTCGATTGGAATGATGAGTCGGTGACCCAGCACCCATAAAATCCTGGATCCGCCACTGGTCACATTTTCCAGATACTTCTATTAAGACTATTCGGCTTAATAATGCTGGTGAATTTACATCTCAAACTTTCAATGATTATTGCATGTCCAATGGGATAAATGATGAACATCCTGTAGCACATGTTCATACACAAAATGGTCTGGAAGAGTCATTAATTAAACGTCTTCAGTTATTGCTAGACCATTGCTAATTAAATCCAATCTCCCAGTTTCTGTTTGGGGACATGCTATATTACATGCAGCAGCACTAATTCGCATCAGGCCAACAAGTTGTCACAAGTTCTCCCCATTACAATTGGTTTATGGTAAGGAACTAAATATATCCCATGTAAAAAATTTAGAATGTGCGGTTTATATTCCAATAGCTCCACCACAACGCTCTAAGATGGGTCCTCGAGGAGATTAGGAATATATGTTAGGTTTGAATCCCTGTCAATAATTAAATATCTTGAGCCTACAAAAGGGGATTTATTTACGGCTCGTTTTGCAGATAGTCATTTTAACGAGTCACTTTTCTCAACATTAGGGGGAGAAAAAAGAGAGCTGGAAAAGGAAATTAAATGGAATGAATTATCATTATCCTATCTCGATACTCGAACTAAACAATGTGAACTGGAAGTTCAAAAGATAATTCATTTACAAAGTTTAGCGAATTAATTGCCAGACTCGTTTGCTTACCCAAAAAGAGTGACGAGGTCACATATTCCAATTGTAAATGTTCCATTTAAAATAGATCACATATCCCGGAAGACAAAATAAGTTTGCTAATGATTCTAAACCACGTTAAAAACGTGGAAGACCAATAGGTTCCAAAGATAAGAATCCTCGAAAAAGAAAAGGAGCATTGATAGATGATGGTCAAATTGAAGAAATAATTTTCGAAGGATCTACAGAATAGAATTTAGACATGGTACAAGAAGAAATTCAAGTACCTGATAATGAAGAAATTTCAACAAATTATATCATGTCTTGAATTACATGGAACCGAAATCAAATCGACATCGATGATGTTTTTGCATACAATAATGTAGCATTAGATGTTACAGATAATAATGAGGATCATGAACCAAAATCCATTGAAGAATGTAGACAAAGAAATGATTGCCTAAAATGGAAAGAAGCAATTGAAGCAGAATTAAAATATCTTGGAAAAAGAAAAGCATTCGGACTTGTAGTCCGTACACCTAAAGGTGTAAAGCCAGTGAGATATAAATGGGTCTTTGTGCGAAAGAGAAATGAAAAGGGTGAAGTTGTAAGATATAAGGCACAATAGTTGCACAAGCATTCTCACAAAGACCTAGTATATATTGATTATGAGAAGACATATTCTCCTGTGGTGGATGCAACTACTTTTAGATTTTTTATTAGTTTGGCAATAAGAGAAGGACTTGACTTAAGCTTGATGGATGTAGTCACAACTTATTTATATATCCCACTGGATAATGACATGTATATGAAGCTCCCAAAAGGTTTTAAGGTGCCATAAGCAGCAAAGTCTAGTTCTCGAGAACATTTATGTATTGAATTAAACAAATCTATTTATGGATTGAAATAATCTAGGCGTATGTGGTATAACCTTCTAAGTGAGTATTTGTTAAAAGAAGGTTATAAGAATGATCCTATTAGCCCATGTATTTTTATAAAGAAATTTGGATCAGGATTTGTTATAATTGCGTTGTATGTTGATGATTTGAATATCATTGGAACTCCTGAAAAGATTTTAGCGATTGTCAATTATTTAAAGAAAGAATTCAAAATGAAAGATCTTGCAAAGACAAAATTTTGCTTCGGGTTACAAATAGAGCATCTAGAGAATGAAATCCTTGTGCATCAGTCAACATACATAGGAAAAGTTCTTACAAGATTTTCTATGGATACAACACATCCATTGAGCAGCCCTATGGTTGTAAGATCACTTGATGTAGAGAAAGGTTCGTTCCGACCTCGGGAAAATGATGAAGAAATTATTGGAACTAAAGTACTACTTCCTCCGTTCTGTTAATATTGCAACAAGGAGGAAATTACGCATCCCGAAACACCTTATATATGCTAAATATCTATAATTATGTAAGTAAAAATTATAAAAAGTTGATATTGTGAAAGTATTTTATGAGACGAATCCAACAAGATCCCACTTGACTATATTTTGCTTAACGTATAACTCATATTATATGGTCAAACAAGAGTGATGAATAGTGCAAAAATTCCATTGTTACAATATTAATAGAACGGAGGAAGTATATCTTAGTGCAATTGGAGCACTAATGTACCTTGCAAGTCATACAGGACCCGACATATCATTTTCAGTTATTTTATTAGCAAGGTTTAGTTCATGTCCAACCCGAAGGAATTGGAATGGAATTAAACATTTACTTCGTTATCTTCAAGGTACGAATGATATAAGTTTATTTTTCCCAAAGTTGTCCAAAGAAAATTTGATTGGTTTTGCAGATACAGGTTATTTAGCTGACCCTCATAATGGTCATCATAAACTGGATATGTGATCACATATAGTGGTACTGCCATTTCTTGGCGTTCCATGGAACAAACCATTGCAGCTACTTCTTCCAATCATTATGAGATTTTAGCAATTCACGAGGATAGTCGTGAATGTGTAATTAAGACTAGTAGTTCAACATATAAAAGAAGTTTGTTGTTTATCATCTGGGTAAGAGGCACCGACAACTCTATATGAGGATAATGCAGCTTGTATTGCTCAACTTAAGGAAGGATACATCAAAGGTGATAGAACGAAGCACATCATACCCAAATTTTTCTTTACTCATGATCTTCAGAAGAATGGAGATATAAATGTATTGCAAATTCGTTCAAGTCAGAATTTAACAGACTTATTCACTAAGGATCTTCCAACCGCAATATTTAAAAAGTTAGTTTATCATATTGGATTGCGTCGTCTCAAAGATCTTCAGTGATATAATAATGAGGGGGAGTAATTGTGCGATGTACACTTTTTCCCTTATCCATGGTTTTTTCCCACAGGGTTTTTCATAGAAAAGTTTTTAATAAGGCAGCATATATGCACATACATTAAATAATCTATTTTAGATAATGTCCATCCAAGGAGGAGTGTTATAAAGTATGTTTATTGTGGATGGTCATTATAGCTTGTAATGATTATCTTAACTATCTTTGTAACATCCTTTGTAACCCCTATGTGTCATTAGTTCACATCATAAATGGACTCTTTATTGTCCATATTGGTTACATTATTCATATCATGTATATATATAGATGACCTATGAAATGGATGAATATACACAACACAATTATCATCTATATCTCTCTCTGTTATATTCTCTATTTTCCTTATTTTATAACAATTGACCCTTTTTTTTTAAAACATAATGAAATTGACTCATAAGAACAAGTGGTATATGGATGGAATGCCGGAATGGTATATACAAAAGCATGGGACAAAGGATTCGAATTGACTGTACTATTACTCTGTTAGCATTATTATAATATTTGTGAAAGATCATTTTTACTTTTTAGGTGAAGTCAATCCAGGCTATATTGTTTTGAACATAATTTTGAGTACTCAACTACTCATGTTAATCTTAGTAGGGTTGTGCATAAAATTAGAAATGCACAAATAATAACTCTTCTCATAATCCATACAAGCATGTATAAAAATACATCATTTATTAAGATAAACTTATATTATTACAAATGTTACTTGTTTTGTCACGCTTTTATTCAATTCTACTTAATTATTAGCTTTTGTATACTATTAATTAAGCATGAACACATAGCGATGACATTTTATTCATACAACATTACAATGAAAGTGAATTAAATCGAGACACAAGTTCAGCAGATCAACCACGCACTGCACTGATTATTTATGTAATTGATGGCAGTGTAGTTAGTGATTGATCTTAACTAAGCGACACACACACCACCAACAATACCCGGCGGTACACATGCTAAATAATTAGAGCAACAATCAGGTCCAAAATAAAAGTTACAGTATCGGCCTTGTTCTACGCACTGTAAATCTTTCTTCATGTACGAGTCAAGGATATTGACAATTGGTTGGACTCGGCTCGCTGCCATTTTCATTTTATAAACCAATGGCAATGGCAGTTCTTCAGCTGAAGATGTTGTCGCCCTTCCAACTACTGGTGCTGCATCATTCATACAATGAAAATGTATTATTAGTGAAGACTATAATTTACCATCTAAAGGGTACAATTTAAAGTTCATTATTATTATTATATCAACAATAAGAAAACACAAACTAAACAAAAAACAAACAAGTTCAAATAAAACTTAGGAAATTATCATCGAACTAACTTGTTGCAGTATACAGCAAGAATGCTAAAAAAGCAAGAGCAACAGGGTTGAATGAGACCCTATCCATTTCTCAAAACTAAAAAGAATTCTATAAAAAGAAATACTCGTTTTATATTTAGTGTACTTAATTTGTTGATCAGCTAATGCCTTGATTTCTCCCATCATTTCTTCACACCACGCTTCTATTTATAGTAGCTTGAAATCCATAAAACATTGACATGATGGCATATGTCCAAATGTATTGACAACTTGATACTCCCTTCGTTTTTTAAGTGTCCCGTTGAATTGTGCGTGGAGTATAGGTATGGTCAGGAATAAAATTTTTTTGAAAAGTAAGAGAAAGAAATAATATGACTGGGAGACCAAGGTATAATGTGTGAAAAATTTAATATCATATCACATCACTAATATATAAAGTCAATCTTGCAGTCAGGTCGCGAGACATCGACACTTGACATTCTAGTTTTAATCAATAAAAATAATTTATGTTTGGTATAAATACTTTCATTTATGTAAAACTAATTTAATTTCAATAACAATAATTTCAAGTAACAATTACATAGATTTCTAATTACAAACATAACTAGAAAAAATACTCTATATAATAAATAAGCGATAGGATATCATATGTCTAAAATCTTACGTGCATTATTAAAAGGGATTACATGACCATATTAATGAACATTCAAGCTAAAAAGTTTATCCTAAATTTTTATCAACAATCCGGGCATCACCCAGACACAAAACTAGTACATAAATAAAGAAGACATTTTTAGAGCATTTGCTGCGCCACATAAGCAAATGCATTATTGACCAATTACAAATTAGATTTGTGTTTTATTTTACAATTAAAAAATTCACTCACCACTAAGCAAAAGGGACGAATGAGATTTAAGAATTTTGCTACATAGGTAAAAACAACGAATATTAATTAATTAGGGTTTAAATTATTTAAAAACCTAGATACTATCCCTTAAAAAAAGCTAATAATTATCTTTAAATATTAAAATTTTTTAAAAAGCTAAAAATTGTATTTAGGGTTACAATTTAAATTATTTTTAAAAAATAAAAAATTTTACAAAAATAATTTATAAAAACAAACCGCCATAAGAAAGTTCACAAATGAGATTTCATTTGAGTGTTTAATTTGATGTGCCATGTACGCTACAAAAATACCAAGATTGATTTTTTATTTAAATACTTTAAAACCAAAAAAAATTATCTTTTTACGCAGAAAGTTTTATCCGGCACATTTGGTGAACACTCATAAAGTGTGAAAATGATAATAAATTTTGTAAAGAAATTCTATTGTCAATACCATGTCAAAAAATGAAACTCTACCTACAAATATGTGTTTTGCTCACAAGTTTTTATCACCACAAAAGTATTATTACCTCTAAAAAGTAATCGATAGTTATGAAATTTTTTGAAGAAAAATAGTTAGGGGATGGTTCAGCTTAATTAGTGATTTAGGATTTAAAAAAACCTTGTTTTGTTGACTAAGATATTATGCATGTTTATAGATTTTTTATTAATTAAAAATTCAATTTTCACATAAATAGCATCAACAAATAAGATCTATTTTTAAATTACAGAAAATAAAAAAAAAATTATCCTTTCTCTAATAAGCAACAAAAATTTTGAAAAATATATTATATGGTGTAAAAAAGAAAACCTTACGTGAGATTTATAGATGAAAAACCGTGCATCATTTGTATGTTTTTTTTTTACTTTTTAATATATATATATATATATATATATATATATATATATATATATTTAAATTATTTTAAAAAGCAAAAATTATTTGTTATTTTTAAAGAACTAAAAATTCAATTATTTAAAGAAAATTAAAAAAAAATTGATATCGGGATTTAAATTATTGAACAAATACGGATTAAAAATACCTAATGATATTAATGATTTTATTTAAATAATCCGAATAAAAATCATCTATTCGCTTGCTATAACAATGCATACCAAGGAAAAATGAAAATGGAGACTATGCATATAGATATTTTCCGTTTAAAAAGGGTAGAGAATAAGATTCAGATAGAGAGTAAGGCCTTGTTCAATTCACCTTGTTCAGTATAAATAATGGAAGTTTAGTAAAAATAAGTTCAGTGCAGCAAAAATAATTTCTGATCAGTAAAATTAATTTCAGTTTATAAAAAATAATTCCAGTTCAATAAAAATCAATAATTCTAAAGATAAAATACAATAGAGAATCATTAAAAATAGTTTTAGTTAAGCAAAATTAGTTTTACTTCAGTAAAAATAATTTCAGTTTAAGTTCAGCAAAAATAATTTCACTTCGCCAAATTAATTCATTCAGCAAAAAGAAGGGAACGAGGACTAAGGGATTTATTAAATAAATTAGGCCCATAAAGCAGGATTATAGACAATTAAAAAAATGAATAAAAGGTGGTTGCGGGCTGCCATAAAAGGACTAAATTAAAAGTTAACAAAAGTAAAATAAAATAAATTTCTTAAAAACAATGGATGTAAAATTTAAAAAACGAATGTAAACCGAAAGTGATTAGCACTTAGAAAAACGGAGGAAGTATCTATCTTGCACGTTTAATCCATTTCAATAACTAGGGTGGACCTAGGTCTAGAGGAGATTACCTATACTAGTATGAGAGCTACACTAGTATGAGAGTAAATGGGGCAAGGTTTGTTTTGTTTTGTCTTTATTTTTTTTTTATTTTTTTTTTGTAATATAATATTTTTGAAAACGAGGTGTATGGCCAATATTGGGATAATCTTGTCCAAGATTGAAGAGATAACTCTCGTTTGGTGTAAGCTTTATTGTCCAAGACTCAAAGAGATAAGTTTGGGTCTTTAAAATATCAAAAACTTTTGTATACATCCGCTTTACACTAATATTAGTGTACATCGAGTAATATAAGGGTAACTTTTAGCTAATTTTAGGGTACATTTTTGCCTTTTTTGGGTAACTTTAAACATAATACAATTTTTATATAATTAGACAACAAGAAAAGTTTTATAAAGGTAATTTAATTACATTCAATCACTAATAATTAATTTTTAGTCATTTAAAATGTGATTATTTACTAATAAAGCATAAATAATATTTATTTGAATTGGGTTACTTTAACGCATATTGGGGGTAACTTTTATTCATTTCAGGGGTAACTTTTAATCACTTTACGCTATCTTTATAATGGATGTACAATAATTATTGTACACCCGATTTTTTTAAAAGTTTGTGTTAAAATATATAGTAAGTTTATTCCTAATTTTTAGACAAGTCTTGAGCAAGATTCTAGCAATAATCTCTACTAAGACTACATATAGTCTTGAGATGAGTTTTGGATTCTAAAACCCATCTTGAGACTATACAAATGGACAAAAATAATTATGTTGTCTAATAGTGAGTTGCCAACTCACCATATTAACATAATTAATAAATATATAAATAAATTAATGTTATAAATATTAACTGGATAATTAAATCTGGAGTGGGTCTTGGAATAATGTGTGAAATTGGAGAAAGTCTTGTATGAGTCTGAATAATAAAAAAAAAAGTAATTAAAAGTTAGTAGAAATTTTATGTGGCAGAGTTTGAAGTATAAATCTCAGTCTTGGGATGGTAAGTTTATTGCAAATTTTGAGCAAAGTCTTAACATGAGTCTTGTTCAAGATTCTTGCAATAAACTCATCTAAGAGTCATGTGAGTCTTACATAGAGTTTTGAAAATCCAAACCCATGTCAAGACTTTGCAAGACCAATGAAAATTGGTCACCTCACCAACCAAAAGTTTACAATAATTTAAAAAAAAAAGATAATTTACAATAAAAAAAAGTATGAATCTGAACCATAAAAAAGTATTTCAAAGTTAGTGGAAAGTTGATGCAGTAGAGTCTGAAGTCAAGGTCCACTGAGGATAAACTCACCCTTATGGTGCATATACTCACACCAAGGATAAGATAATATTTAGACTTCACTGTTACGATTGGTCCATAGGTTTTTATTTGTTTTTTTTCCAATTTTTTTCGAGAAACGTGACCAAGTAATCAAATCAAAATCCAAGTATTCCCTCTACCTCTAGTCCTCTATGTCTTTTGTCCCATTAAACTTTTTATGATTTTAAAGACACGTGTTAATACATATACATCTCCACTTTCAAATGCGTAAAAACTACTGTATAAGAAATTAATATGAATAAAATTTACAATAAGATAGACGTATTTAACGAAATATCACATGACTATAATATCTTTAAGACTCTTATATATTCGTGATTTTTATAAAAAGATAATTAGGTAATGAAGGCCTAAATTGGCCTTTTTTTTGGTTAAAAAAAAATAGCCATTTTTATTTGGAGAAAATTGACTTTTTTTTAATAGAGGAAAAAAAAATTGACCTTTGTTTACAATTTTTTTGTTGAAACCAACAACCTTCGTTTACTTGGTATTAAAATACAGATTTCTACAAAGTATATCAATTAAAAAAAATTATGGATTCTTCTTCTTCTATTATTATTATTATTATTATTATTATTATTATTATTATTAAATGGATTCTTATTTCTTAATATGATGTATTACAGTATTAGGCAATACTTAAAAAAAAAAATAGTGTCTATTATTGACGCCTATGTTAGGGCCCAGTTCTCTTTAGCTTAAAAAAATAATATTCAACAAAAAAAAATTTTACTTGAGTGGAAAAAAAAGAGTAATTTAGTAGCTTTGAAAAATAAATATAATAGAGAATCAGTAAAAATTAGTTCAGGTCAGTAAATTTAAGTTTAATTCAATATAAATAAGTTCAATTCAACAAAAATAAGCTGATAATAACACTTAATGATACAAAAAATTACCTATCATTATAAAGTACTTCCTTTGTCGCAAAATATAGTTTACGTTTGAAAAATAACACGAATTTTAAAAAATAAGTTGAGAAAGAATTAAAAGTACATGGGAAAACAAAATGGATAATCATTTGCCAAAATGAGAAAGAGAGAAAATATGTACCCCTCCATCCTTTTATTACATGCCTATATTTCTTTTTTGGGTCATCAAAATTAAGTGCATATTTCTATTTAAAGGTTATACATTTTTACAATATTATTCTCTTTTTAATTATTTGTCATTTTTTCTTTTTTGTACTTTAAACTCAATTCTCAATACTTTCCCTCTCCTAATTTCTAACCACTTTTTTCTTTCTCTCTATCTCTCTTTAACCCCACATGAATATTTATACTCCCAATTATTGGTTTTAAGGAATCTTTTACTTTCTTAATTCGTGTAAAATGAGAAATAGGCATGTAATAAAAGGACGGAGGGAGTACTTTTTTTAATTTTTCAATAAAAAAATACTAATAAAGTCAACAAGGAGAGTAATGAAGCAAAAAAAAAACAAAAAAAAATAGACGGTATTTTTGCACTTCACC